TGACATTTGGGGAAGAGGATTCACTTCTATTTATTCACCTATATAAATCATGAATGTTGAAAAAAATACCTTTACAGCAGTAGTCCTAAGTAGAGATGTAGTACAAATGCAAATCTAAATTTCCCCAAATATAAGAAAGTAATCTGAAAATTGTTTGTTTCCTAATACACATCTGCTATTAAGTAAATGACCAAAGGAATAAATCACCTAATAGGGGATTAGAACCTAGAGTTAGGTAATCTTTATGGGTCATCTCAGCACTATGGGTCATTCTGGTCTAGCAATTAAAACATGAAGTTTACTGTATATCAGGCAATAAATGGATGGTATAACATTGACAGCTTCATTTAGTTCTAACAATAACTCTGTGCTGAGTTAATTCTGTGTACGTTTCATAGATGCAGAAAGATGAAGAGATTGACCAGTGTCACAATGGAGTTAAATGACCAACATGGGAATGAATCTAATTTATATCCGATCCCAAATCCTGTTTGTGATCTTACAGACCCAGAAGGATGGGATGGGGAGGGAGGTGGGAGGGTGGGTCAGGATGGGGAATACATGTAAATCCATGGCTGATTCATGTCAATGCATGGAATAAACCACTACAATATTGTAAAGTAATTAGCCTCCAACTAATAAAAATAAATGAAAAAATAAAATAAAAACAGTGATGCTACATATAAAAAAAATAATCTTACAGTGCATTTTTTAATGTCTCTTTCATACCCTTTCTGTTTTTAAATTGAGGTGTTTTTTTTCCTAATTTGAGTTATCTAAAAACAATTATGTCTTTTGAAGACATGGGAAAAGTATTAAAATAATTCACATACATGTCCCTTCTATCAATGGGTGACTTATTTTAGTGAAACTAGAGTCCATTCCATAAGCATGAAACACTTTTTCCTTTGATTTTGTCCTTAATGTCACTAGTATAGGCAACACAGACTGGTGGAAAGACATTGACTATCAGTTTTGTCAGTGGTACAACAGAAATGGAGGCAGCCTTTTTAAAGGCATAATTATTCATGTCAGTGCCTATATATAAATATTATTTTTAAATTTTTGGTATTGTCACATCTAGAAACAAAGTACAAGAGTCCGAAATAGGTCATTCTCAAAACGTTGAAAAAGGAACATAGAAAATCAAGCACACAACTGCAGTGCTTGTTATTGCTATAGCTGTTGTTACTTAGCAAAGCTCTCAGAACAAAGGCAGATACAGCATCTACAATATACTCCTACTCACTGTCCTGAATGTGTTCCATTTCTCAAATGAAGAAGTTATGAAGATTTTTAAGTTATCATTGCTATATTATAATGCTAATACAGAAAGAAGAAACTATTTCCCATGACAAAATGCTAGTAAGAGCCTCTGCTAATGAAGTTTTTGTCATAATAATGCAAACAAATGCCAGTATGATATAAAACTATTATGAATAAAATTCTTAATGTGGCAGCCCTCATAGGGAAAATATTGAATACACAACAAAGATATTGGCAGTGTGTATGAGTGGGTGTGTGTGTGTAAAAGAAGCTGAAAGAATGAATGAGATCCTGAGTTATTTCAACCACATCAAAGGTATCAAACCAAAAGCAATTAAGATGGAAGAGAGATTGATAATGTTAAATATACAAAGAAACAAGAGGAGATACAATGGGAAAAGATCTCTTCATATTATGATAATAAGATGCATTGGGGTAAAAATTCATAATTTATATTTATTTTTAGAAAGCAAGCAAAATAATGAATATGTAAAGTACTTTACCTGAAAAGTATGTTGCTATTATTAATATTCATAAGAACTCATATTACTCATAAGAAGAGATTCTTCTGAGATGATGTATCATGTCACTGAACATACCAGTTTTTTATCATGATAAAAACAATTTGTTTTCCTTATTATGAATGCATTTGCAGCTATTAACTTATTTAGAGAGTCTGAAAGCTGGAAGGTGCCAGTTCAGTACAGTCGCTCAGTCATGTCTGACTCTTTGAGACCCCATGAATTGCAGCACACCAGGCCTCCCTGTCCATCACAAACTCCCAGAGTTTACTCAAATTCATGCCCATTGAGTTTGTGATACCATCCAGCCATCCCATCCTTTGTCGTCTCCTTCTGCTCCAGCCCCTAATGCCTCCCAGCATCAGGGTCTTTTCCAATGAGTCAGCTCTTCGCATCAGGTGGCCAAAGTATTGGAGTTTCAGCTTCAGCATCAGTCCTTCCAATGAACACCCAGGACTGTTTCCTTTAGGATGGACTGGTTGGATCTCCTTGCAGGCCAAGGGACTCTCAAGAGTCTTCTCCAACACCACAGTTCAAAAGCATCAATTTTTCAGTGCTCAGCTTTCTTCACAGTCCACTCTCACATCCATACATGACCACAGGAAAAACCATAGCCTTGACCAGATGGACCTTTGTTTGCAAAGTAATGTCTCTGCTTTTTAATATGCTATCTAGGATGGTCATAACTTTCCTTCCAAGGAGTAAGCGTCTTTTAATTTCATGGCTGCAATCACCATCTGCAGTGATTTTGGAGCCCAAAAAATAAAGTCTGCCACTGTTTCCACTGTCTCCCCATCTATTTCCCATGAGGTGATGGGACCAGATGCCATGATCTTAGTTTTCTGAATGTTGAGCTTTAAGCCAACTTTTTCACTCTCCTCTTTCACTTTCATCAAGAGGCTCTTTAGTTCCTCTTCACTTTCTGCCATAAGGGTGCTGTCATCTGCATATCTGAGGTTATTGATATAGGGAAGGTCCCAGATGCCCTTTATTTGTGTTGTGCATTCTGTCTTTGATCCACCACCTACTTTAATTTTGCTGTAACAGTATCTATCAAGAAAATTTATTACTTTACCCTTGTCAACAAATTATATGTGCAAGCCATTTATCAAAAAGTATTTCTTGACTTCTGATTGATAACCACTTCAAGAGTTATGTATTAGTTTTGAAAAATAAGACATTATTTATCAAGAAGATAAAACTTGAGAATTATACTGCCATTAATAAATCTAAATTGAGTGACATCATAGCAGAAAGGTTTCTTTGGTGGCTCAGTGGTAAGGAATCTACCTGCAAATGGAGAAGATATGAGTCTGATCCCTGGGTCGGGAAGATCACCTAGAGAAGAAAATGGCAAACCACTCTAGTTTTCTTGCCTGGGAAATCCCATGGACAGAAAATCCTCCCAGGCTTCAGTCCATAGGGTCAAAGGAGTCAGACATGACCTAGCGACTATACCACAAACCGTTACCACCACAGCAGGAAAACGGTGGAGATAATCTGACCACAATAAGAATCAACAAAAAGAATTCCCCACACGTGGTTTACAGGCTCTGCAGATCATCTCCTGGTTTCAGTTTAGTTCAGCCCCTCAGGCATGACTGACTCTACTACTCCATGGACTGCAGCACACCAGGCTTCCCTGCTCATCACCAACCCTCGAGCCGTGCTCAAACTCATGTCCATTGAGTTGGTGATGTCATTCACCCATCTCATTCTCTGTTGTCCCCTTCTGCTCCTGCCTTCAATCATTCCCAGCATCAGAGTCCTTTCCAGTGAGTCAGTTATTTGCATCAGGTTGCCAGAGTATTGGAGTTTCAGCTTCAACATCAGTCCTTCCAATGAATATTCAGGACTGATTTCCTTTAGGATGGACTGGTTGGATCTCCTTGCAGCCCAAGGGACCCTCAAGAGTCTTGTTCAACACCACAGTTCAATAGCATTGATTCTTTGACACTCAGCTTTATTTATAGTCCAGCTCTCACATCCATACATAACTATTGGAAAAACCATACCTTTAAGTAGATGAACTTTGTTGTCAAGGCAATGTCTCTGCTTTTTAGTATGCTGTCTAGGTTAGTCATAACTTTTCTTCCAAGGAGCAAGGGTGTTTTAATTTCATGGCTGCAGTCACGATCTGCAGTGATTTTGGAGGCCCTCAAAATAAAATCTATCACTGTTTCCATTGTTTCCCCATCTATTTGCTGTACTGTAATGGGACTGGATGCTATGATCTTAGTTTTCAGAATGTTAAGTTTTAAGCCAACTTTTTCACTCTTCTCTTTCACTTTCATCAAGAGGCTCTTTACTTCTTCACTTTTTGCCATAAGGGTGATGTCATCTGCATATGTGAGGTTATTAATATTTCTCCGGACAATCTTGATTTTAGCCTGTGCTTCATCCAACCTGGCATTCCACATGATGTATTCTGCATATAAGTTAAATAATCAGGGTAACAATATAAGGCCTGGTGTATGCCCTTCCCAATTTAGAACAACTCTGTTGTCCCATGTCCAGTTCTAGCTGTTGTTTCTTGAGCTGCACACAGATTTCTCAGAAAGCAAGTAAGGTTCAAAAAAAAAAAGAAGAAGGCAAGTAAGGTGGTCTGGTATTCCCATTTCTTGAAGAATTGTCCACAGTTTGTTGAGATCCACACAGTCAAAGGCTTTGGTGTAGTCAGTGAAACAGAAGTAAATGTTTTTCCCCACTTCAGTATTCTAGCCTGAAAAATTCCATGTACTGTATAGTCCATGGGGTTGCAAGGAACCAGATATGACTGACTGACTTTACTTTCACTTTCAATACAGTATAAAAAGAGGTGCCATAAAAAATATAAAATGGCAAGAAAAAAAAAAGGTGGAGCTTTATAGGCACATGAAGATAAGTTGCTCTCAGTCTAAAACAGATTGTTTTATACATGATATACTCTATGTAAACCTCATTTTAACCATAAAGGCAACATCTAGAGTAGGTTCAGAAAACATAAAAAAGTTAAAAGAGCATATAACCATGGGAAAATAATCAATTTACAAAGGTAAGCATATTCAGAGGGCAAAGAGAAACAATGTGAAGAGAAAATAACCAGAAAGCAAATAATAAGATGTCAATATTAAGTCCCTATATACTAATAATCATTGTAAAGGTAATAAGGTTGGATTCACCAATGAAAAGGCACAGAGTGGTTGGATACTTTAAAAATAAAAGAAGACCCACCTGTATACTTTAGCTGAGAGACTCATTTCACCTCTAAAGACATAAAGCCTCAAAGTGAATGGATGGAACAAGATATTCCCTGCAGATGCAAACCAAAAAAGAGTGGGATTAGCCATACTTACACTAGACAATATAGATTTCAACAAAAAAAGGTAACAGAAAATGAAGGTCATTACAGAATGATAAAGAGGTTGATTATTCAAGAAGATAAGCAATCATAGATGAATGTACACCAAACACTGAAGCACCTAAATAAACAATCACTAATGGATCTGAAGGGAGAAAAGAACAGCTATACAATACTAGTAGGGACTTCAATACCCCACTGTCAGTAGTGGGTAGATTATCCAGACAGAAAATCAACAAGGAAGCATTGGAATTAAACTATATTTCAGATGAAATAGACTTAGCAGACACATATAGAGTATTCACTCTAACAGCAGCATAATACACATTCTTTTCAAAAGCACATGTTACATCCCCCAGGATAGATCGTATAATAAACCACCTCTTAGCAAATTTAAGGTGATTGAGCTCATACCAAATAACTTTTCTGACCTCAGTGGTATAAAACCAGCAATCAACAAGAGGAAAGCTGAAAATCTATAAATATGTGGAAACTCAATACACACTCCTGAATAACCAATAGTTGAAAGGAGAAATCGAAAAGAAATAAGCTATCTTGAAACAAATGAAAATGGAAACACATCACATCAAATCTTATGGAATGCTGTGAAAGTAATTCTGGAAAAAGAGGTTTACAGGGATAAATGTATATGTTAAGAAGTCAGAAAGATTTCAAATTAAAAAAAAAAATAATTTTATACCTCAAGGAACTAAAAAGAAGAACAAATCATTCCCAAAGTTAGAAGAATAAGGAAATAGTAAATATCTGAACAGAAGTAAATTAAGTAAAGTCTAGAAAAACAGTAGAATGCATAAAATAAATTAAGAGCTACTTTATTGGAGAGTTAAACAAAATTGACAAATCTTTGTCTATACTAAGAAAAAAGACTCAAAATTAAAATTAGAGAAATATTGCAAATAATGCTACAGAAAAATAATGAGTAATAAGAAAATACTATGAAAAATATATGCCAGTAAATGGATAAATTCATTCCTAGAATGATATAGCTTAGTGAGACCAAATTAGGAATAAATAGAAAATCTGAACAGAACAATGACATGTAAAGAGATGAATCAGTATAAACTTCCCAACACAGAAACCACAGAGCCAGATAACAAATTCTAGGTAACACTTGAAGCAATAACACCAACTCTTCTTAAACTTCTCCAAAAATTGAAGAGAAGGAAATACTGCCAAAATTTTAAATGAGCCAACATTACACTGACACCAATTTCAGTTAAGAACACCAGAAGTAAAGAAAATTATAGACTCATATCCCAGATGATATGAGAAAAGGTCAGTTTTCATTCCAACCCCAAAGAAAGATAATGCCAAAGAATGTTCAAACAACTGTACAATTGCACTTATTTCACATGCTAGCAAGGCAATGTTGAAAGTCTTTCAAGCTAGGCTTCAGCAGTATGTGAAACAAGAACTTCCAGAAGTAAAAGCTGGATTTAGAAAAGGCAGAGGAACCAGAAATCAAACTTCCAATATTCATTGGATCATAGAAAAAGAAAGAATTCCATAAAAATATCTACTGCTGCTTCATTGACTATGCTAAAGCCTTGATTGTGTGGATCACAACAAACTGTGGAACTTTCTTAAAGAGATGGGAATACCAGACCACCTGACCTGAATCCTGAGAAACATGCATGCAGGACAAGAAGCAATGGTTAGAACTGGACATGGAAAAATGGATTGGTTCAAAATTGGGAAAGGAGTATGTCAAGGCTCTATATTGTCACCCTGCTTATTTAACACATATGCAGAGTATATCATGTGAAATGCCAGCTGGATGAATCACAAGCTGGAAACAAGATTTCTGGGAGAAATACCAACAACATCAGATATGCAGATGACACCACTTTAATGGCAGAAAGAGAAGAGAAACTACAGAGCCTCTTGATGAGAATGAAAGAAGAGAGTGAAAAAGCTGGCTTAAAACTTAGCATTCAAAAAACAAAGATCATGGCATCTGGTCCCATCAGTTAAGTTCAGTCACACAATCATGTCTGACTCTTTGCAACCCCATAGACTGCAGCATGCCAGATTTCCTGTCCATCATCAACTCCCAGAGCTTGCTCAAACTCATGTCCATCAAGTATGTGATGCCATCAAACAATTTTATCCTCCACTGCCCACTTCTCCTCCTGCCTTCAATCTTTCCCAGCATCAAGGTCTTTTCCACTGAGTCAGTTCCATCATATCATGGAAAATAGATGGGGACAAAGTGGAAAAAATGACAAGTTTTATTTTCCTGGGCTCCAAAAATCACTGCAGATGGTGACTGCAGCCATGGAATTAAAAGACACTTACTCCTTGGAAGTAAAGCTATGACAAACCTAGACAGCATATAAAAAAGCAGAGACATTATTTTGCCAACAAAGGTCCATCTAGTCAAGGTTATGGTTTTTCCAGGAGTCATGTATGGATGTGAGAGTTGGACTATAAAGAAAGCTGAGCGCTGCAGAATTGATGCTTTTGAACTGTGGTGTTGGAGAAGACTCTTGAGAGTCCCTTGGACAGGAAGGAGATCAAACCAGCCAATCCTAAAGTAAATCAACCCTGATCATTCATTTGAAGGACAGATGCAAGCTGAATCTCTAAGACTTTAGCCACCTAATTGAAAAGCCAACTCATTGGGAAAGACCCTGATGCTGGAAAAGATTAAGAGAAGGCAGATAAGTGGGTGACAGAAGATTAAATGATTGGATGGCATCATCAACTCAATGGACGTGAGTTTAAGTAAATTTCAGGATATAGTGAAGGACAGGGAGGCCTGGCATGCTGCACTCTATGGGGTTATGAAGAGTCAGACATGACTTAGTGACTGATCACCAACACCATGCCATCTAACAGTTACCACTTCTGGGTTAAACTCAAAGAAAATGAAAACAGGATATTAAAGAGATATTCCAAGTTTATTGCAGCATTACTGTAATAGCCAAGGCGTAAAGACAACCTAACTGTCTACCAATGAATGAATGGATAAAGATGTGATATAACCATTCAGTCCTGAGTAAGAAGTCCATCTTTTGATTGGTGGTAACGTGGTGGACTTTGTGGACATCATGCTAACTGATGTAAGTCATATACAGAAAGACAAATACTGTGGGATACCACCCATATTTGGAATCTAAAAAAGCCAGATCCATAATAATGAGAGTATTATACTTGGTATCAAGGTTAGGGTGGGTTGGTGAGAAAACAGGACAGGTGTTGTTTAGAAGTATAAATTTGAAATTAGTAAATCCTAGCATTCTAATGCACAGTATAATGAACATTGACAACAACATTGTATTATAATCATTAAACTCATGAAAACCTGGAAATTAAGTATTTCAACCCCTAAAAAGAAATGACAATCATGCAATATGCTAATTATTGCTATGATGCAATCATATTATAACATATAAATGCATTAAATTAACATGTTTAACATGTTGCATACCTTAAATTTACCAATGTTGTATGTCAAATATATTTTAATTAAAATAAAACATAAACAAAGACTTAAGTATGATACTGAAAATGCAGCCTATAAGTTTTTAACCAAGATTTGACCTTGATAACTTTATCTGCAGGATTAGAAACATTAAAAAAAAAAACACACACAAGAATTGGATTGGGATTTGTAGCAAAATAAAATATGCATAAGTGAGCCAGCATGAAGCTGATGGTAAATTAGTGAGTTCCAGTCTAGATGTTGTTATTTAGGCTCATGGTTAGGATCCATTTGAGCAAAACTTCCAAGTTCAGGAGAGTTTACAGTTACCATGAGAGAGATATGTTTAGTATTAAGTGTATTTTGTAAATGTGGACTTTTCTAAATTCACTGATCATGTATGTTCATAGTATCTACTATAAACTGTATCTTCTACTCAGCAAAAGCAATTATCTGTGAGTTTTTACTTGGAAAGAAATGTACTGGTTTAAAAATCTCATAACCTACCCTCCATATAAAAAGGCAAGCAATATATTTTAAGACTCATGGTTAGTTATTGCAATTGTACAAATATTTTAAAAACTTTGATTGAAATTGAACATAAAAATCTTTTCTTGATATACCATACAAATACTCCTTACCTGAGTCATTCTGTAGATCTTTCTCAATTTCTAAACAATGTGGTTTCCTTTTATTAAAAGCTAGTTGAATGGAGAACAAGATGATAGAGGAGTAGGTGGATGTGTAGTACATCTCTCTTCCATGGATACATTAGGAATACACCTTCGGACACAAAAGTGCATGCCCAACACCAGTTGAGAGCAGACAGGAGAAAAGAATGACCAGCATGAAAGAATGACCAGCAGAAAAGAATATATACACCCACACAAAACTCGGTAGGATGAAGGAACTAGGGGGAAAAACAGGAGTGTTAGTAGAACTGGATCTGCCCTTGGTGGGTGGGGGAACTGAAGCAGGGGTCCGACTCCCACACTGGGACAAGTGTCTGAGTCAGAGGAGAAACATTTAAGGCTGAGAGTGAAACAGCTGATCTGTGGCAGCCTAAATGGAATGAGAAACAGGCAGTCCTTGATACAGCCATACATACCCCGGACAGGGACACAGCTCTCCTGGAAGGTGCAGTGGCTGGGAGCTGGAGTTTAGGGATTGTGGAGTAATCTCAGGGCAAGGGCTGATGTTGAGTGTGGGGAGACGGACAGAGGGGATGTGAGGGATGAGACTGTGGTGGGAAATGCCTGTGGAGGAAAGCCAGGCAGCCAGAGAAGCAAGGGGATACTGCTGAGTCACATGTAGGGGATGGAGCCATCACCATAGCCTCTCTCCCCCCACATGCCAGCATTGCTCGCTGAACAATAGAGAGTCTGGCCCATCAAACGCCTGAGGTACTGAACTACAGAGTAGGATCCCATCCAGGATGCCCCTTTAAGTGACTGATGTGCTGAACTACAGAGCAGAACCCCAGCCAGGGGTGGGCCCTCTATGT